ATGCCAGCGGCCATCTCTTATCTGGGAAGATTAGTAAAAACATCCTTGACGATTGATGCAATCTTGGTAAATTCCAAAGCCACGCAATACCCTTGGAATTCTGTTGCATCATTGTATCATCGATCAATCAGGTCAGATTAGCCTTTGTACATGAGGAAGGTGTGAACTGACTGTAATGTGCTCAAGGTAGCGTGCGTGCTTCAACATCTCTAAAAATTTCCGATAATCAAACATTGCATACTTGAATTGTTTCTTTTTCAACGATTACGAAATGAAAAATACACAATCTTGATAAGAATCTCATAATTGCCCAGCAATGATCTACTCTGCGTCTTGATTCCAATTAAATATTTATATAAAATAAAAGACACCACATTATATCAATACAAGTAAAAAAAAAGTTCACCTGGTTAGTTATTAACATATCTTCTTTAGGAGAACCGCGTTTTGTCATTGAAAAATAAAAAAAATTTCGTGACAAAAAAAATTGTGCAACACCAAGTGCCAATAATAAATAATTAATGACACATTTGTCGATCAAATAAAAATTTTTTTTTATAAAAAGAAATCATAAGAATGGTGGTGGTTATCGCCACTTGTCGTCACTCTATTTTTCCTTGAAAATTCACTAGGCGTAATAGGACAGATATCTGTAGAATCATTGCATCAGGTGTTTGAAGAGAATGAAAAACGGTGCTCAGATTTAGAAGATGAGTTGGGCAATCTTGAGAATTTGTTGTTGATAGAGGATCAAAAGAAGATGAATCAGATGATGAGTCAGAGGCTGGGAGTGAGAGTGGATATGATGGAGATGAAGAAGAAAGGGAGGATAGTGATGATGAAGACAGTGGGAGCAATTATAATGTTGATGATAGTGATAATAATAATTATGTAAGTATTTTAGTTATTTCTGTTTGCTGGTTGATTTTTATACTTTTACTTAAATGGTCTGTTGTAAATAATCACAGAATGGATGATAATGCATCCCCAAGGAAAAGAAGGAGAATTAGGTGCTTTTATGTGGTCGATTCTGGGTGTGAAACATCGAAAGAAGTATCAAATTGATTTATATATATTTTTTAATTATTGATAGTTAATATTTTATATTTTAATAAAAATAAAAATTTAAAGCATATTTTCATTCTGCTTTCTTTTCTTAATTTTAATTATTTTTCTTTCTCTTGGTAAATTTCATAAGTCATCCTTTCTTTCCTTAGGGCGCTGGCAATATATTAGCTATTTAACTCTAGATCTTTTTTTCCTTATCAACAATTTTCCCACATCAAGATTCCAATAGTAAACATCTGACTCTTTAATACTAACTAATTCCATAAATTTCATTTGAAAAATAATTAACCAGTCCACATAATCCTAAACCTGTAATATAACAAGCATATCCTTCCATTAACATATTTCCACAATGCACTAAATATTTAAATATGTTAATGATAAACGTAAACATTTAAATAATTTTTTTGTCAGCCGGGAGAAAAACCTTGGCTGGCTAAGCCAAACAACTCTAAGCCAGCTCGTGTCACTATTTGTTGTAAATATAATTAAAATATAATTTGATTTTTAAAACATTGACCTTATCTAAAATTTGGTGTTCCAAGGCCATTTGAGTCGATTAAACATTTCAATACCACATGATGTGATACATGATAAAAAAATTATTCCTTGTTTTCTTCATAATCCTTCTTGTCCGTGTTGCCTTATATAAATACTACCAAATAACCTTTAGCTAAATATCCAACTTTCTAAATTGGTCAAATGGGATACATTTCATAATTTGTTTTGGTAGAGCTGAAGGCTTTTGGAATTATTCATTTCCTGAAGTCCAATTTTTAAATTGACTTTGTAAATGTAAGCTATCATAACATACATTAGAATATTTTTATAACGTTAAATTATTTACATTCTTTATTGCATTACCTAATTCGGTCTCATTAATATATTTTTCCTTGAAATTCTTTTTCAATTTCTAAAAGATCTTGTCTTGGTTTTCATTTACAAGCGATAAAAATATATCATTGTTTTTATGATCATTTGCAATTGGATAGGTTTTATTAACTATTCAGAATAGGTTTGAACTCCATTTCATATTTCAGGTTTGTTTAACAGTTTGAATGTTTATACACTTCGACTTTATCCCTAAAGAAGCATCGGGGCGAAGCTAGTTTCTCAAATAATAAAATTATGCCTACCACTCCACTCATGCTCTTATGAGCAATTACTACCATTAAAAAAAAACAAAAACGGACAGACAGAATCATAGTTGGGCATGAACTTACTTCAAAACGATTAGTAAAAATTTGTTCAGCCTTAAATGAAGTTGGTAATTGACCAGAAATCAAATGAATTACAATTTGAAATTAATTAAAATAAATAAATATTTTATTTTTAAGTTCTTCTAATAAATGTTTTTAGTATTAACGGATTAATCCATTACAAATCCGGATGGGAAAAATCCTTAATTGTAATATTAATATTAAACAGTCAACAGATCGAATATTCTTAATATTAATGTTAATGTTAAAGGACCCGTTAACCCATTAACAATCCAGGTCATAATACTACCATAGATTTTTTAAAACGAGGGTTGTTGACTGTATCATATTGACTTAACTGTTAATATTAATGTTAATTTAAATTATCGTTTTGGCTTGGTTGTTAATGTTAATTATCATTTTATTATCCACAACAACTTTTTCAAAGGTTTGAAACAATTTTTGACCAACAAAATCATTTCAATTATTACTATCCAAAAGTATTTCGACTATTATTACTACTATCCAAAATTATTAATATTTTATCAAAAAGTCGAAATGGTTCATGTACAACTGATATAATTACTATTATTCTAATAATAATGATTTACTACATCCGTTGTCATATTCTTCAAGCAGAATGTAATGATCTTGATATCTTGATACTTCTTAATATAATCAGTATTAAAGGTTATTTGAATGAGTGTTAATTCATTACTAATGAATAAAGTATCTAATTTTTAAATTGTCAATTAATTAAAAAAGATTGAACATTTGACATCGCGAGTCGTGCAGTTTTTTGCCGATTGTCTTTTTTTACGTCTAGCCGTGCTTGGCAAATGTTTTGTTTTATAAAAATAGCAATTTCTAAATTTCCAAAAATTGTTACACGATTATTTATATGATTTTACAATAGTCGTCCGATTTAAAAATATGATTTTTTTTTATAGGCACGTAAATTTCAAGCCTCTTTATCATACTTCATGCCCTGATCAAACGTTTTCCAATATCAGTATTATGAATGAATTTATAATAAAGAGGTTTAGAATACATATAATAATAATATATGTACATATTTTAATAACATGTTGGGAATTTAAACATTAAAAAGGAATCAGCAAACTTAACAGTATATAAAAGAAACAAGGAACCCGATAATATTACAGATAAGTTAAATTAAAATATTATTTACAAGTTCAATTTTTACGAAAAATTTAAGAATTGAACTTTAAAAATTAACTTTTTTTGGTATAATATGAAACTATTTAGAGGTAAGATGCAACATGTTATGCTTTTAATGTGCCAATTACGTTTGAGGCAATTAATTATATTTAAAATTAAATCTTTAGCAATACACTGTACATGGTGTCCAAATAATTAAATTAATTACATATCTATTAAACGAAAACAAGTATTATTAATAAGTAGAATAAGAACGAAATAGTAATGGGGATAATAAAAATTATTCTCTCTTGTATGTATTACTATTGAATTTTTTAATTCTGTTCACATTATACAGTTATATTATTAACGATTGATTGTCCAATAAACTCAAAGAAATTCCGTTATGCATTAATCTACGTGATTCTTTTTCTTTAATGTAAATACCTCTTTTCCACGTGATAAAAATTTATCGTGCAATAATTATAATATCTTTTTGGTAAGAATAAAAATTTCTTTTTTCGTTTGATATTTAGTTAGTTGAAGGTCATACCGTTTTTATTTACTATTATTATCATTTGTCCTGTTTTTTGAATCGTACCATTGATTCAGAAAAGCATTATGCGTTTAATTAATTAATTGACAATTGAATTTATCGTTATTACTAAAAGTGCATTTAAATTGACAGTTGAATTGATTATTTGTTTATTACTAAAAATGCTTGGATCACGTCTATACATTCATTTTGCAAAGCTGGATTGCAAGCTTTGCAAATCTTGACTTTAACACTTACTTTGACCAAACCCGCTCATATAATTATTGAATAATTGATAAAACGTTCATTTTGCAAATTCGATTTGCAAGTTTCATAGACCTTGACTTTAACACTTACTTCGATCAAACCCGCCTATATGATTATTGAATATTTGATAAACATTCGTTTTGCAAGCTTTATAGATCTTGACTAATACTTACTTCGATTAAACCAGCCTATACTATTATTTAATAATTGATAAAGCGTTCATTAAATATATTTTAAAAAGAGCTTCATAGACCTTGACTTTAACACTCACTTTGATCAAATCCGCCTATATAATTATTGAATGAAAAAACGATCATTTTGGAAAACTTGGTTTGCAAATAGATCTTGACTTTGGCACTTATTTCGATCGAACCCGCATGTATTTGAGTAATTGATAAAACGTTGATTTGCAAAACTTCTTGGATCTCGTATTTAACACTTACTTTGATAGCGCCTATCTATACAAACCATTGGATAATTGACAAACGTTATCGGTATATATTTTACAAACTTATTTGGAAGTTTCGTACGTCGTCATACATCTTGTATTTAACACCTACTTCCACAAAATCGTCAACTCTACTTTTTCTATTGAATTATTTTGGATTTTTATTTTTGATTACACAATTATGGAACAGAATTTGTCCAATGAAATGTTGTAAACCGTATATATCCTATGCACAACTTGAAATATAAGGCTCATTTTTTCAGACATGCAATGGCGAACCCGTGTGGCTCACTGGGTGTATTGACCCTTCATGACATGACCTCTCTCTTTTGTTCATTTTTATACATTTAAAAAAAAAGAAAAAAAGAGACAATGAATCATAATTTTTTGAGGATGAAGTTTTTCAAAAAAAAAAATGAGGGGATGGCTGTCCTATTTATATGTTTTGGATTTAATAAAATAGACTATTGTCTTGGCCTGAATGATGTCATTTTTTTTCTTTTTGCGACAAAGAAGATGCAATCCAAACCCAACTTATAATAAATTAATTTTTGTTCTCATATTGCGTTCTCAGTTGTAAGCTTGTTTCTAGCAACATTGGTAATATTTAATTGAACAATAAATAGGTTGATGAACATAATAAATAGAGGAAAATGATACTAATATACTTAAAAAGCATGCTTTTTATATTTTATTATCCAAAATTTTAACTTCTATAGAATTAGAATATACAGTAAAAATTATCAAACCAAGCCCTTTTTTCACCCAAAAATATTATGTATAAATAAATATTAATTAAATTAACCAAAAAAAACAATGTACTAATTTATTTATTAGTACATGTAGGTGAAAATAAAGGCTACACCGCCTATTGCGATGCTCATCAATGAACTTGGTGATATACCGATGGCTTCAGATGCAGATTGTGGAGTTGGTGTAGTAGTAGCGGCGGCAGCGGCGGCGGGAGAAGAAGTTGAAGCTGAAGCTTTTGGAGGATTATTATATGCTGGTTTTGATGTATCTGTTGTCTTTGGTGCTTCTGCCTTTGGTGCATCTGTTGTTTTTGGTGCATCCGGTGCTTTTGGTGTTGTTACCTGTGGGTCTGTTGCCTTTGGGACTGGAGATGCTATTTTTTCAATATTAAATCTAGTTGACCACACAAAATTTTTGCCTTGATTGAATCTGACAAAGCTTTATATAAATAAAAATATTAATAAATGATATTATTATAGATGTTGAATATCAGTATAGGAGAGGGAAAAGTAGATTACTTACTAGAATTTTCCTGGAGGACCTAGATCTTTTGGAACAGTATAATCTGCTGTACCGGCTATACCTTTAATGTTTGTACCAATAACTGAAAGAGATGTTTGATTGGTGTCAGTACCTGTCATGAGTTCAATTGTTAAATTATTCAATTCACTTATTAGTGGAGGGACATTATCATCTTTCCATAGAAGTTTGACCTTTTCACCGCCACTCCACGTTGAAGCAGCGACTGGTTCTGTGGGAAAGATATTAGCATTTGCACCAACAGTCAAAAGAGCCAAGCTTAAAAGTGTAGCTGGTTTCATTTTTATATGTTTATTGTATTATTATATTATTATAATTTATATTCTAAAATTCTATTGGTTTTACTTTTTCTTTATGATAAAGAATGTGAAATTTTAATTATGGAGGAGGAAGTAGGAAGTAAGGAAATAAGGAAATAAGGAAGGTAACGAATATGAAAATATTGTAAGAAAAAAATAGAGAGAAAATGTGTTAAGGGGACGGGAAAAAGTGATTTTGAGTTAAATTAAAAATTATTATTACGAACATGAGTGCTATTTATACCCACTCTTTTATTATCTATATTAAGTTTCAAATGCACGAATAAATAATTTTTAATTATTTAAATTATTTATCGCTTATTATTCTGTAAATTTATGTTATTTATGTCACACTTGAAGCAATAGTCGATTGGGGTTTTACTATTAAAAAGGGGCGTCAAATTTTGGGTTTAAAAATTTATCACGTGTACAAATTTTAGCCAATAAATTATTGTAATACGAGCAGTAAAATATCACGTGAAAATATTTTCAACCAATGAAATAAAAGAGAAAAATTTAACGAATTATTCCCTGCAATTACTTTTTTCAAAAATAGTTAATGGCTTTTCCTGTACAAGTTTTAGCGAATAGGATTAGAGTTATCCAATAAGAATTTTTTTGCTAATACTTAAATTGTTAATCTATTTTATATAATTGGATATTTAATATTGTTCTTACACATCTAGGTGGTTAGCACGGGTTTCTATGAATTAGAATGTGGCAAAAGGTTTCTTGGCGAAATATCTCTTTTTTGATTAATAAAATATCAAAGGTAATTGTTAAATTTTAAAAACAGTAATTAATTTTTTTTCTAAGTATAATAAATACTTATTGGGAAGCATTGATAAAAAAATTAATTTTTTTTTTTTTTTAATTATTTTTTCCTTCATAAAAAAATTCGAAAAAAAAAAAATGAAAAATTTTGTGTTATTGTTAATAATAACACTGATATTATTAATAATTAAATTTCCTTTATCTATAAATTCACAACGAAACTTTACATATGTAGAACAAGAAACCGGTTTACAAGTATTTCGATTAATTAATTATGATGATGGCACAATAATAATCAGAGTTACAAGAGATACTTTATGTCCTGAAACTTTGATAAGGCTTCGAGTAATTAGTAAAGATGGAGATGTTAAATCTGTAACCTTTGGTGGATTACCTGGAACTCCTTGCACCCTAGCTTCTGAAATTTATCCTTTGAAAATCGATTATTTTCTGTTAACCTATTTTAATTGTGAAAAAAGTTTTTGCAACCATTATGGAATGATTTTATCTTGGGATGGAGCGATCGTCGAAAGGTAAAAAAAATTTTTTAGTCGTAACAAATAAGTAATAAATAAGCATAAAAGCTCATGCATAATTTGTACAACAATTCACAGTGACATTAATTTAAGTGATGTACAACTATTAGAACCTCTTCTTCTTAATAAACGTGTCCAATCTAAAACTGTTACCAGATATCCTGGTTTGGTTCTTCATGTTGTAATTGATGAACAAGGAATCATCAGCTGGAGAGAGTTTGATTTTTCGTAAGTTATAATTTTTCAAAAAAATTTTATTGAAATTTAAATATTGATCTAATCTATACTAACCTACAAATCTGCATAAATATATATAGAAAAGATGCAACAAAATCAAAACTTTTAAGATCAGGAAACAGTGAGAAAAGTAGTACCTATGAATTCACCGTAGAAGATTTTGAGCTTTTACCGATAAAAAATGGTGCTTATGCTATCACAATTGCTTATAACTTAAGCACTAATATTGGCAATGGAACGATATACGAAGTTGAAACCTATATTATTCCACCTTTAACAAGTCTAAAAAATAATTTGACTAAATTCACTTTATATAAATCTGAAGATGATCTTCAAGAAATTAGATTAATTGGGTGTCATGACAACATTGTTGCTGGCACCAGCAATTCTTCTCAGAGTGAAGATGCGTGTTTTCTGGAAATTGAAAAATCAAATAAATTTTCATGGATGCAATTATCATTTTCAACTGAAGGTGTAACTAATCCTTTGGCAACATTTGGAAATGATTCTTTTTATGACACAGACACAAAAGAACGTATTTATTCTGTGATGGGAATGTCTAGAAACAATACTGATAATTATATGGTGATAACAATTAATACCAGTGATCCAAAAACTGCTCATTTTTCTGGTTATATTTACAATGAATCGAATAGAACTTATACTCATTGGGGTTTTCCAGAAGGAATGCAATTTAGTGGTTTATTCAAAATGTTACCAAATGATACTCTGATAGCACCTTTGGTCTCACCTGCTAATTCTAATTTTTGGTCATTGGAATCAACTGTTATCAATGTTGAAGGATCACAAAGTAAGTATTTCTTTTTTCATTATTGATTGAATATTTCTTTATTTTCCAACTAAGCTCACTTTTATTTTTAGCGCATAGTGATTTCGATATTAATGCAAATATTATGGAATTTAATCCAAAAAATGGAACAACTGTTCCCTATAATCTTGGTGAAGTAAATGTAACCATATCCAGTGAAGATGTAGTAATAGGATCCGGAAATATTGTCATTTATCAATTATTAAATAACAATGAGACTCTATTACGACAAACAACACCAGTAAATTCTCCATTTGTATATTTAGAACATGACACTACAAGCGCATATCATACAATTTTGCATTGTTCACCTCTTCTATCCAGTACATTGAATCAAGCTAATGGTAATTACCTTGTGCACTTTGACAATAGTTTATTAATGACCAAGGAAAATACTTCAATTCCCATCCAAGACATAAGCTTTACAGTTGGCGAGATTCCACCAGATGGAACTGAAGATGAATTTGAGAAAGGAATTTTTCGATTATCTGTTGATGGATCAGAGCTTTTTAAAACATTGAAAGGAGAAGATAGAGATAATTATTTTTTTCATTTAAAGCATGAAATGGCACAATTCGTCCCTATTAAACCTTCCAGATTGACTATATCTAATCAAACTCAAATTGACTCCAGCAGCATTACACATCCACAAGTCTTAATAACGTTTATAATTGCAGCAACTGAAAACGATAAAGAAAGAAGTGCAAAAAGATTGCTTTCTGATATGAATACAATGATTACTAATAAACAATACACCAACATTTCCGGCGATACTTATCTAGACTTTCTTGACACTACTTATGGTGTTCAAGGTTAATTTAATAATAAATAGCAATTGTTATTATTTAATTTGTTATTTAGAAGTTAGTTTATTAATATTTTTATTTGTTTTCTTGAAATTAGAAATTCCTAAAGGAATTTCGTTTAGTAGAGTTGGATTTAAAGGGTTTATCGCCTTATTTGGATTACTTGCAGTAAGTATCATGATATATTTAGCATTTAGAAGGCATAAAGGGGTAAATATCATTGTATTTATAATGTGTTATTATCACTATTATCATTATAACATTTATTTATTTATTTATTTATTTATTTATAGGGAAAAAAATTTACAATTATTAAAATTACGGTGATAATAGTTGATTTTATTTTTGATTTAGCATTTTTAATTGTTTATTCAACCAAGTTTCCTTTTATATTTTGGACAAGGTAATAATAAAAATATATAATTAGTATTTTTATTATGTATGATTAACGATATTAATTAATTGATATTTCATATTTTTAGTCTTGGAATAATTATATTGTCAGGATTATTTAATTGTATTGCATCATATGGTATAATAATAAAAGAGATTATACACAACCCTACATTTAAAGAATGGTTTAAAAAAGTATCATTTGGTGCTACATCTTTAATCGTGATTGCAGGAATTGATGCGGAAATATTAGGAATTTTATCATCAAAAGTTACAGGGTTTAAATTATTTTCTGCACCAATTTCTGATCATTCTATAAGTTTAATATTTTGGAGTGGAACAATCAATTTGTTTATTGAAGATGCACCTCAATTTATCATTCTGGTAAATCAAATTATTTAATAGTTGAATTAATTAAAATCAATTGATTTATAATGAATTAATCTCACTATCTATATATTTATTTATTTATTTATTTTTGTAGTCGATTTATCAAAAATATTCTACTGAAACCGCCGAAGTTATTCCGATCCTTACATTAATTACATCTTCAGTTGCATTATTTGATAGTGTTTTGGGAAGAGTTTTCCGATTTAACAAACATCAAGATATGAAAAAAAAGGAAATGAAAGAAGAAACAAGAAGAAAATTTTTTAAAGATGATGATGATGATAATGATAACTATAAAAATAACAATAATAATTTAAATAATGAGGATACAGTGGTTGTTATGGAATCTGTATTCACTACCAGTGATGGTGGTACATCTGGAATCCAATCAAGACATGAAGAAACCGAACCAATGTTAACCAGTCATCAAGAAGTCCATCAGCATTATCAAGAAGAAGAATCTCAACATAACGTACACTATACCACTGATTTTAAAGTTGATGAAAACGAGCCTCATAAAAAATAAATCAGCTAATTATCATGAGTGAACATTGTCTGTGAGAGCAAAGAGTGAGTGAACGAGCAAGTGTGTATATATATATATATATATTTATTTATATATTTTTTTAATACTGTAAAAAATTTCTGTGTATAGAAAAACCATTTACACATATGGTAATCTTTGTATAATAAAATATATCTATGAGCTGCAGATCAAATAAGAGAATGTGAAATAATCAATTATGGAGACATGCCAGTAAATTAAAATACGACTAAACTAATCGTCCAATACCAACAAAAATCTATACACGTGATTTATTTTTAACGCGTATTACCGTTACTAACATTTTTTTTCATGAAATTTTCCCTAATTGACGATCCCGCAAATAAATCACGGAAAAAGTCCTAAATTTATTTTGCAAGAGCTCTATAATCATATTTACTACACTAAGCTATATTATTAACACAAATAAAAGATTGAATGCTTGTCGTGTCACTATTGCTTGCCAAAACTCGTAATTTTTTTTTGCAATTTTTGAAATCGTTTCCATATTTTAATCAGATTTGCAGTTTTTTCTTATTTTCGCATGTTAGAGTCGTACGGCAGAGGTTAATTTCTTATAAACTCGCAGAGAAGAGGAGAGAATAGAATGGAGCGTAGTTCATTTATATGGTAATAGGTGATTTTTTATAAGTTTGTGATCTGTGAAAACTTGTTTACTTTTTTTTCCACAGCCACAAATTAATTTTAAAATTTGAATAAATAATTAACACATATTAGAATGTCAGAATTCACATGGGCACCTTTGTGGGATTCTCTGGATATATTAATATTATCTTTTGATTTTGATTGCATAAAGGTAGATAGTCATGTTATTGATGAGTACAAAAGGTTAAATCTCTTGGCTTGAATACCTTGTAAAAAAATACGTGAAAAAATGATTAGAAAATTTGTTTTCAATTATTAATAATATTTTTACAATAATTAAACATGACAACTAATCAAGAAACTTCTCAATATTTTTATGATTTATTTGAACTTGGTTTAGAAGAATATGATTGTTATGAAAATATTCAAGAAACTATTCATAATTTAAAAAATTTTTTTGAAAATCCAACGAGTTGTGTTTGCCGTGTTTTGAAAAAACAAAAAGACATTAGAACTTGTTTTGAAAAAATTGGATTTAAAAAATTTTTTCAAAGACATTTTCAAATTATTAATTTAACTAACAAAGAATTGGATTTATTTTTGAAAGCACAACTTTTGGCAATGGAAATAGAAAATAAAAATTTTAAAGAGTCTTCTGAAAAAATTCCTCAAAGAATAAATTATCAATTTTGTTTTAATTCAACATATTCTCTTTGCAAACCAATATTTTTAATGTTATACAATATAAGTGATCATAAATTTGAAAATATTGTAAAACATTTACACAATGAAGGAATAAGTGAATGAATTCATGGAAACACAGGAAGAGCTCCTATATATAAAACTAAAGTCAATATTGATGAAAATTTAAAATTCATTGTAAGAAATTTTCTAAACCAATATTCTTTAATACATGGGTTACCTTCACCAACGAGACATAGAAATGATTCTGGAGCATTTATTTATCTTCCACTGATAAAAGATTTATATCTGTGTATAAAGAATTTAAAGAATTTTATTTAGAAAATATTTTGAAAGTTGAATCTGAAAATGATTTAAAAGAGGAAAAAATTATTTCTTACAATTCTTTTAGAAGATTATGGAATGAACTAATGTCTAATTTAAAATTTCAGCCTCTTGCAAGTGATTTGTGTGATAATTGTGTTCAATTTAAATCAAAATTGCAATTAGCAAAAAGAAATATTGATGAATATAATAATGTTGAAGCTGAATTTAATGAACATAAAAAAATGGCAAACCTTGAATGTGATCATTATAATAATAATATTGAATTAAGTAAAAATGATTTATCAATTGCACATATTTGTTATGATTGGGCACAAAATGTCACCATTCCTTATTCACCTCAACAAGCAGGACCATTATATTTTTTATCAGGTTATGCTGTTCATTTATTTGGAGTTTGTAAAACTGAAGGAGGAATAAATAAACAATTGAATTTTTTAATAGGAGAAGATGAGCTTCCTCAAGGCACATCTAAAGGAGCAAATACTACTTTGAATTTAGTTTATCAAGCTCTGCAAATATTTGCAAAGAATGGTAAAAAAAAATTGCATATAACTTGTGATAATTGCTCTGGACAAAATAAAAATAACTTATCTCTTTGGTTTTGGACTTGGATAATAATGCTGGGTTGGTATGAAAAAATTACAGTTAGCTTTATGATTCCAGGACATACAAAATTTATATATGATTCTTTTTTTGGTCATATAAAAAAATTATATAGAAAAAGTAAGATTAATCAGATTAATGATATTGAAGAGATTGTTAAAGATTCTTCAGAAGGAAATGAATCAATACAATATAAAGATGGTTTAGGGTGGAAATGGTACAATTTTGGAGAATTATTTGAAAAAATTTAAAACTTTACCTAATATAAAGCAATATCATCATTTTAGATTTAACAACCTGCCTGAAAACAAAGGAAAAGTTTTTGTTTCAATGAAATCTGGTGAAGAAGAGTCTTTTAATCTTTTAAAAAATAATAACTTTAATCATAATGATCCCATTAATATCATTCCAATTAATATAGATTTAGAAAAAAAATTATATTTATATAAAAAAATTAGAAAATTTGTAGAGGAACCTCATAAAGATGTTCATTTTTCAAATCCTAATTCAAATGAAATGGAAATTTAAAAAAAAAATTTTGTAAGATTATCATTTCCTTTTTTGTCATTATAAATTTTTTGGGGCCAAAATTCAATAAATCTTTGTGAGCTAATTGTACACTTTTCTATTAATTGAATGTTGACAAAAATTATACCAAATTATAATCATCACTTCAAAGAATATAATGGTGTCAATAACTCATTTTGGGGTTTTTGAGCCCGAAGCACCTTTTTGCTAGGATGGAACCCATATGTCAGTGCCCTAAGTCAGCAAGTAGGCTGTGTGTCACATAAAGGAATTGACAGTAAGTCAGTGAGTAAGCTGTGTGTCATATAAAGGAACTATCCAGGCAAGTAGGCCATAAGATAGTGGAATCAACTGTAAGTTAGTGAGTAGGCTGTGTGTTGAACATAAAATAACCTATCAAATAGGAAACTCATATTGCATGCTTGCAGTACATATGTGGTATCAACTCAAAATTATGATATTTGACATTGACCCCTTTCCCATTGTCCATGCTCCATATATGGGCATATAATTTGTTTAGGGTTGTCTAAAGCCAAAATAACATTTAGATAGAATGTCCGAACAGTAAAGATTTGCTTTAAAGATCATGTGGATATACACAAAACCATGGTCTCAATTGCCTAAATGTCTAAAGTAATTTATATTTTAGACATCCTAATTTAAATTATCTAATACTAAATATTTGGATGCCCATAATGGGGCATAGTTTTTGTAAATGAAAATTACTAAAAGAAAATAGTGAACAATTTTTTTAATTTTATTATTTTTTATTTGATTTCAAGATGATAATGGTAGGTGTCAATCCTTTAACTATTCCCAGAACTTTAACATGCCTGCCAATCACATGGTACTTGAACATCCTACTTGTTTACATAGTGAACTTAATCAGTGGTTAAGCCTTCATCTAAACCATAAAGTTCCACCCATACTTTTGATTTTATAGTTTTCCTAATTGTGCTGAATTAGCTGATAAAGCTGAAGCATTACAAGTAACTTTAAATAGTTTATTTTCTGATAATTTGGTAAGATTTGTTATTAATAATAAAATTTAATTGTTCATCCTTTTTTTTATAATTCTCATAAATGATTTTATTTTTTTAAATAAGGTTTTTATTTATCATTAGAAAGAGGAAGATGCAAGACAGGCTTGAAAAGAAGCTAAAGAAGCAGTACTTGCTAAACAATTATTAAGTGACATTCAAGTCAGTTTTTATGGAAAGATATAAAAAATTTTAACCAAAGATAATGAGTAAACTTTACTCAGAAAGGAATGTTAATTTGTTTGTTTCTTGATTATTTTGTTGCTTTTTCTATCATCTTGTCTGAGTTTTAATCTTTTTGTTGGCAAAGATGAATTTCTTGCCCATTCAAAATAATCACATTGATTTTCTGGTGATGATCCAACCAGTCTCAAAAACAATTTTAATTTAAAAATATGCTTGTAAGTTAAAGTTTTTTGTTTATAAAATAAAGAAATAAATAAAACCAACACATCCATTTAACATACCTTGAACATGAAAAGAAATATCGTCCTTCATTTGGTCCATTTTTGTTAACTCTATATTTTTTACATGGTTCTCCATGCACCTTACATTTAGGAATTGCTTTGGGCATAAATATCATATTCCATTGAGACATTATATCAGATTTATGTTCAGAATTTTTATCATCTTCTATGCATTCTTCAGAACTATTCTCTTTTATAATTTTTTTGATCTCTTCATCCATTGAGTTTTTCAGCAACTCTTCATTCTGGAACAACAAAAATGATGATGATGATGATGATGATGATGTTGATGTTGATGTTGTTGATGTTGTTGTTGTTGTTGTTGTTGTTGTTGTTGTTGATGTTGATGAAAAAGATGATGATGATTCTTGACATTTTGGAGTGGCTATATTCTCTTCAATATCAATTATTTTAATTGGTTTATCATTTTTCTCTAATGAAGCTTTAAAAAATGTTGTAAGAGTAGGTTGATTCGGAATTGTTGAATTTGTTTTTTTAGCAATACAATTTAGTGACTTTATTGAAGTTTTTTTCAGCATGGAAGTTGGTTTAGAGGGAAATTCTTGTGAAATTTTTTCTTTTTCAAAAAGAATGGTTTCAACAGAACTACTAACATTAGAATTATCAATTATCTTAACATTTGCAATCTCATCGTTATTCATATTTGATTTATTAAAAAAGCTTTGTAATTTAGTCTGATTAAAGAATTTGGACAGATATTTGGCACAAAGTTTTGGTGCCTCTAGCTTGTTTTGTGTAATGTATGAGTTAGAACTAATCAAATCAGAAAGCCTAATTTTTTTACCATTCTCCTCAATTTCATCATAGAGTTCGCAAGAAACTGGACAATGATCAGAGCCCATTATTTGTTGTTTAACATCACATGATTTCATCCATTTTACCATTCCTTTACTAACAAGTATATAATCCAATCGTGTACCTATTGGGATAATAAGAAATTAATTTTATATCTTATAGTAAATACAATAAAAAGCCTATTCTTGATAGTATAATTTACCATAATTTGCAGGTCTTATTATATATTAAAATTATGTATTTTATAAAAAGTTGATAAGATTGAAATAATATAAAATTTAATAACATAACATTATAATATATATATTCATAAAATTAAACTTACCTAGCATTTATAAGAGTATTCCAACCTGGAAATATACATTTGATCAATTTAATATTATGTCCATTTTGCAGGGGAGGGGTAAATATATTTTTGACATAAAAAACTTACATGTGTACATTCCTTCCTCATTTGGATAGAAACAATACTGATAATTATATGGTGATAACAATTAATACCAGTGATCCAAAAACTGCTCATTTTTCTGGTTATATTTACAATGAATCGAATAGAACTTATACTCATTGGGGTTTTCCAGAAGGAATGCAATTTAGTGGTTTATTCAAAATGTTACCAAATGATACTCTGATAGCACCTTTGGTCTCACCTGCTAATTCTAATTTTTGGTCATTGGAATCAACTGTTATCAATGTTGAAGGATCACAAAGTAAGTATTTCTTTTTTCATTATTGATTGAATATTTCTTTATTTTCCAACTAAGCTCACTTTTATTTTTAGCGCATAGTGATTTCGATATTAATGCAAATATTATGGAATTTAATCCAAAAAATGGAACAACTGTTCCCTATAATCTTGGTGAAGTAAATGTAACCATATCCAGTGAAGATGTAGTAATAGGATCCGGAAATATTGTCATTTATCAATTATTAAATAACAATGAGACTCTATTACGACAAACAACACCAGTAAATTCTCCATTTGTATATTTAGAACATGACACTACAAGCGCATATCATACAATTTTGCATTGTTCACCTCTTCTATCCAGTACATTGAATCAAGCTAATGGTAATTACCTTGTGCACTTTGACAATAGTTTATTAATGACCAAGGAAAATACTTCAATTCCCATCCAAGACATAAGCTTTACAGTTGGCGAGATTCCACCAGATGGAACTGAAGATGAATTTGAGAAAGGAATTTTTCGATTATCTGTTGATGGATCAGAGCTTTTTAAAACATTGAAAGGAGAAGATAGAGATAATTATTTTTTTCATTTAAAGCATGAAATGGCACAATTCGTCCCTATTAAACCTTCCAGATTGACTATATCTAATCAAACTCAAATTGACTCCAGCAGCATTACACATCCACAAGTCTTAATAACGTTTATAATTGCAGCAACTGAAAACGATAAAGAAAGAAGTGCAAAAAGATTGCTTTCTGATATGAATACAATGATTACTAATAAACAATACACCAACATTTCCGGCGATACTTATCTAGACTTTCTTGACACTACTTATGGTGTTCAAGGTTAATTTAATAATAAATAGCAATTGTTATTATTTAATTTGTTATTTAGAAGTTAGTTTATTAATATTTTTATTTGTTTTCTTGAAATTAGAAATTCCTAAAGGAATTTCGTTTAGTAGAGTTGGATTTAAAGGGTTTATCGCCTTATTTGGATTACTTGCAGTAAGTATCATGATATATTTAGCATTTAGAAGGCATAAAGGGGTAAATATCATTGTATTTATAATGTGTTATTATCACTATTATCATTATAACATTTATTTATTTATTTATTTATTTATTTATAGGGAAAAAAATTTACAATTATTAAAATTACGGTGATAATAGTTGATTTTATTTTTGATTTAGCATTTTTAATTGTTTATTCAACCAAGTTTCCTTTTATATTTTGGACAAGGTAATAATAAAAATATATAATTAGTATTTTTATTATGTATGATTAACGATATTAATTAATTGATATTTCATATTTTTAGTCTTGGAATAATTATATTGTCAGGATTATTTAATTGTATTGCATCATATGGTATAATAATAAAAGAGATTATACACAACCCTACATTTAAAGAATGGTTTAAAAAAGTATCATTTGGTGCTACATCTTTAATCGTGATTGCAGGAATTGATGCGGAAATATTAGGAATTTTATCATCAAAAGTTACAGGGTTTAAATTATTTTCTGCACCAATTTCTGATCATTCTATAAGTTTAATATTTTGGAGTGGAACAATCAATTTGTTTATTGAAGATGCACCTCAATTTATCATTCTGGTAAATCAAATTATTTAATAGTTGAATTAATTAAAATCAATTGATTTATAATGAATTAATCTCACTATCTATATATTTATTTATTTATTTATTTTTGTAGTCGATTTATCAAAAATATTCTACTGAAACCGCCGAAGTTATTCCGATCCTTACATTAATTACATCTTCAGTTGCATTATTTGATAGTGTTTTGGGAAGAGTTTTCCGATTTAACAAACATCAAGATATGAAAAAAAAGGAAATGAAAGAAGAAACAAGAAGAAAATTTTTTAAAGATGATGATGATGATAATGATAACTATAAAAATAACAATAATAATTTAAATAATGAGGATACAGTGGTTGTTATGGAATCTGTATTCACTACCAGTGATGGTGGTACATCTGGAATCCAATCAAGACATGAAGAAACCGAACCAATGTTAACCAGTCATCAAGAAGTCCATCAGCATTATCAAGAAGAAGAATCTCAACATAACGTACACTATACCACTGATTTTAAAGTTGATGAAAACGAGCCTCATAAAAAATAAATCAGCTAATTATCATGAGTGAACATTGTCTGTGAGAGCAAAGAGTGAGTGAACGAGCAAGTGTGTATATATATATATATATATTTATTTATATATTTTTTTAATACTGTAAAAAATTTCTGTGTATAGAAAAACCATTTACACATATGGTAATCTTTGTATAATAAAATATATCTATGAGCTGCAGATCAAATAAGAGAATGTGAAATAATCAATTATGGAGACATGCCAGTAAATTAAAATACGACTAAACTAATCGTCCAATACCAACAAAAATCTATACACGTGATTTATTTTTAACGCGTATTACCGTTACTAACATTTTTTTTCATGAAATTTTCCCTAATTGACGATCCCGCAAATAAATCACGGAAAAAGTCCTAAATTTATTTTGCAAGAGCTCTATAATCATATTTACTACACTAAGCTATATTATTAACACAAATAAAAGATTGAATGCTTGTCGTGTCACTATTGCTTGCCAAAACTCGTAATTTTTTTTTGCAATTTTTGAAATCGTTTCCATATTTTAATCAGATTTGCAGTTTTTTCTTATTTTCGCATGTTAGAGTCGTACGGCAGAGGTTAATTTCTTATAAACTCGCAGAGAAGAGGAGAGAATAGAATGGAGCGTAGTTCATTTATATGGTAATAGGTGATTTTTTATAAGTTTGTGATCTGTGAAAACTTGTTTACTTTTTTTTCCACAGCCACAAATTAATTTTAAAATTTGAATAAATAATTAACACATATTAGAATGTCAGAATTCACATGGGCACCTTTGTGGGATTCTCTGGATATATTAATATTATCTTTTGATTTTGATTGCATAAAGGTAGATAGTCATGTTATTGATGAGTACAAAAGGTTAAATCTCTTGGCTTGAATACCTTGTAAAAAAATACGTGAAAAAATGATTAGAAAATTTGTTTTCAATTATTAATAATATTTTTACAATAATTAAACATGACAACTAATCAAGAAACTTCTCAATATTTTTATGATTTATTTGAACTTGGTTTAGAAGAATATGATTGTTATGAAAATATTCAAGAAACTATTCATAATTTAAAATTTTTTTTTGAAAATCCAACAAGTTGTGTTTGCCGTGTTTTGAAAAAACAAAAAGACATTAGAACTTGTTTTGAAAAAATTGGATTTAAAAATTTTTTTCAAAGACATTTTCAAATTATTAATTTAACTAACAAAGAATTGGATTTATTTTTGAAAGCACAACTTTTGGCAATGGAAATAGAAAATAAAAATTTTAAAGAGTCTTCTGAAAAAATTCCTCAAAGAATAAATTATCAATTTTGTTTTAATTCAGCATATTCTCTTTGCAAACCAATATTTTAATGTTATACAATATAAGTGATCATAAATTTGAAAATATTGTAAAACATTTACACAATGAAGGAATAAGTGAACAAATTCATGGAAACACAGGAAGAGCTCCTATATATAAAACTAAAGTTAAAGATTCTTCAGAAGGAAATGAATCAATACAATATAAAAATGGTTTAGGGTGGAAATGGTACAATTTTGGAGAATTATTTGAAAAAAAATTTAAAACTTTACCTAATATAAAGCAATATCATCATTTTAGATTTAACAACATGCCTGAAACAAAGGAAAAGTTTTTGTTTCAATGAAATCTGGTGGTGAAGAAGAATCTTTTAATCTTTTAAAAAATAATAACTTTAATCATAATGATCCCATTAATATTATTCCAATTAATATAGATTTAGAAAAAAAATTATATTTATATAAAAAAATTAGAAAATTTGTAGAGGAACCTCATAAAGATGTTCATTTTTCAAATCCTAATTCAAATGAAATGGAAATTTAAAAAAAAAATTTTGTAAGATTATCATTTCCTTTTTTGTCATTATAAATTTTTTGGGGCCAAAATTCAATAAATCTTTGTGAGCTAATTGTACACTTTTCTATTAATTGAATGTTGACAAAAATTATACCAAATTATAATCATCACTTCAAAGAATATAATGGTGTCAATAACTCATTTTGGGGTTTTTGAGCCCGAAGCACCTTTTTGCTAGGATGGAACCCATATAGTTTAAGAGTTATTTTGAGTTTTGTAATTTTGCGAAATTTGCCAATTTGTATAATAAATTTAAAAATTTTTTTTGTGGCACCAAAAAATAATAACAGTCACCCATGATGTCACACGATCAATATAGTGACTGCAATAACTATGTAAGATTTATGTGTAACATTTCGATTTTTACTATTAAAATTCAACATAAAAAATTTCCTTCACAAGTGTAACTACTGTTTCTTTTTTAGTAAGATTCACGATCTTTTGCACAGACATTCTTTGAGACATTATTTATTTCCCTGCAAAATTTGAACCATTGCTTTATAAGAGAATGGAAAAGGATGGTCGTTTGAAAGTTTATGCTTCGGGTTTTAATGATTGACAATATTATATACTAAACAACGCAATATAACATACAAATAATGCTGTTGGTTTAAGAATTAAAGCAGCGAAATTATTCTTATGGCAGGATTCTTTATTCATAATAATAAATAATATTTAATCATATTGCTGAACTAATCATGGAAGCTTCCTGACATGAAGGAGATTTGAAGATTTGAAAACTTTTTTTTTTCTTTATTTGTTCATTCATATCATTCAT